ATACACATCTAAGCCGCGTCACGGTACTACTCCCGTCTACCGACCCTACCCTCCGAATGTGTTACCACGCCCTGCCAAGTTTCTCTTCGCATGATATCACATGCCGGATCACAGTTATCGCACGCTCTCGTCTCGCACCAATTTCGGACGCTGCCCTGCAGCTGCAAACTCCCATTCCGTTCCATCGCTATCATCTTTCTCTTATCAAGTTACCAATTGCATGCAATTTACCCCCTATCCTCTACTCTCTACTTTTGAAGCATGTAAGAAAGCTCTTGCACCTACAAACGTAGGTTCAATTGTACTAGACTTATGATTTTCTACTTAATTAACTACATTCTTAATTATACTTTTAAAAAAAATTGAGAATACAAGAAATCCAATCAACTTGAGGGTTATATTTTTCTAACCACTGTAAACTTAAAATGATTGGATTCGAGGGGGATCTAATGATATTAAATACAACAAAGCTATTATGACCATTAGTTATTACTTGTATAGAAAGAGTTTTGTGACAAACATCTTCAGAAGACAACGAGCGGCCAACTGTGACTTCTACGTGAACAGGTTTAGTTTTCCTTATTAAAGATATGTTGAGTCTTTTAACAAATTCTTCATCTAAAAAACACGGTGAGGCTCCTGAATCTAACAAGGCAGAGGCTTTGTAATGTTTAGATCCTTAAATAATATTTAATGTAAAACATAGAGAGGATTCTAAAGAGTGAATAGGACCTTCATTAGATATTGTACAAGGTTCCAGCCACACGATTCCTATTGTAGCTAGACAAACTCGTTTTCTAATATATTATCTTCTTTGATATTCATACTCCTCATTTTATAATTACGTCACTTCTTTGGATAATATTGAGGAGTATGCTTAGGTTTTGCACAATATAAACACAATCCTTCTTGATGGCAATAAGACGTTTTTTGTTCAGTAAAAGGTTTGAAACGTATTGCATCAATTTGTATATCCTCTACTTCTGAATGTATGTATTGAAGAGGCATTGGTGTTGCCATTGAATTATAGTAATATTAAAGCCCACTTATCCTACTCTCAAATTGAAATTTGAAAAGTCGATTGTCACATTTTATAGCAAAACCAATTGCTAGACTCAATGTTTGAGGATCATGTAAGTTGAGCATCAACTTCTTTACCTCATATTGTAATCCATAGAGAAATTGGCTAATAAGTGCAACATCATCCCACTTGATATCAGTTGCAAGTTGTCAAAATTAAAAAACATATAATATTATAGATTAATTATTTTATCATAAAATATGGATCTTGTTAGTTGCAATACAAGTTGCATCATGTTCTCCATACATAGAACGAAATTCTACTAAAAAAGCCTTCAAATTATTCAATATTAGATCTCGTTGTTCTAAAAAAGATAAAAACCATGATAATGTTAAATCTGAAAGAAATATATCAATTAATCTAACTTATGATCCTATTGTTAGATAGCTTTAGGATTGAAGTTCAATCTCAAATTATACTTGATTGATAAATCCTTGAAACTTAGATCTAGTGCCATCAAACTTCTCAAGCAAGGCAATTGTTGATTTTCTAGTACCAAAAGGATGTTCCACCATAGGAGAAGGAACATGATTGGGTGCAGATGTTGGAGTAGCTCCAATCATATCTATATCATCACTTCTTGCCATTCTTGTTGCTCTTTGTGGAAGTAAACTGAGTTGATGCATCGCAAGCATTAACTCCCTCAATTCTTCTTGCATTTGTGCCATTGCACTCTTTATTATAACAAGCTCTGCCATGATAATACTTAAAAAATAAATATCTAATGTTGCTCAAGACAAGCAAAAGAGGGAACTTGAGAAAAAAGAAGATACTAAGAATAATATTAGTTTAGAATAAGATAATATACTTCTAATATATCCATAACTTCTAATATACTTATGTCTTATAAAAAAAAAAAAGTAATCCACTCTTAATCAAGAAAAGACAAAGTTCTAATATTGTAAGTGTACTCTTGTCAATTTGTCAAGGACACGAATTGGAAGAAGATGCATAAACCTGTATTAAAAGAAAAGTGAAAAAATAGCAATAAAGTAGTATTTATATTAAAAAAAAATTAGAATGACTATTGCCAAAAGACAAGAAAACTAGAGATTCTTAAATCTACACTAAAAGCAAAAAAAGAGTTGACAAAAGTGAAGAGGGCTTCACTCTTGCCTCTATATATACTATCTAATTAGGAGCTACATGGCAATGTTCTATAGGACCTCTAATATATGTTGACTTTGCAGGACACATGCCTTAGCTTACAAGGCAAGTTTTCTACGTATGAGCCACATAGTTAGCTTGTTCTTTAAGCTACCAACATGTGTGGCATATGGCCAACTTATTGACCACGTTTCTAATCTAAAAATTCAATTAAAGATACTTATAAAGTCAAAGCAATATCTACCAAGCTTCTAGAAAGCTTTTATAGAAGATATTCTAGAATTAACCTACTTTTATTTATTTTTATCTAAACCATATAGGTAATTATTAGTTTACATGTATATGTCCATGATACCATTATAAGAAACAATTTTAATTCCACTTTGTCATAATATCAAGAATAGTCACCCTTTTGAAGAAATTAATCCAATTGCTTAATAATTATATCTATCAAAGTCTCTAAGGATCCAAATCATATTCTATATGTCTCTTTTTGAGCTATATAGGATAGTGAATATATCAAAAAAAAGATAAATTCCACGACCTCCTACAGAAGTAGATAATCATCAAGAGTTTGAGATGAAAGACATCCTAGACTCAAGGTAGCATCAAAATAGGTTAAAATATCTTATTCATTAGTACAAATATGATATTAATAAATGCATAGGAAAATCCGCCAAGAATCTTGTAATTACAATAAAGAAGATTGATGCTTTTTATTAATAATATCCATCAAAACTAAAATAAAAAATAAAAAATCTTTATCATCAAAGAAATATAATTTAGAGAAGATTGCACTCTACTTTCTATCCTTGCTTATAATTTTTTTGTATTTTTTTTACTAAAAAAATAAAGAAGTAAAAATCAATAGATTTAATTCAAAAACTATTATTTACAAACTTATTAGATGAGACATTGCAATTGTTACAACCTTCAAGACAACATAATAGAGATGAAGATTCTTAACAACAACATATTCTTTCTTGAATAAATGGCAAGATACAACACATTTGATATCATAACCTTGAAAGAAACGTCCAATGTTTGGTGATTTTATTAGAAGTAGAAATGACTCTTGATGGTGTTACAAATGTTTTGTTAGAAAGAAGTTATAAAGGCTTCAATAACAATCAAATACCAAATAAGTCTTTTTGCTCTAGAATGAGACATTATTGATGGCTAAGAAGCCTTATGAACTACCTTCAAAAAGAATAAAGATCAAAGTATGTGGAATATATAATTCATTACATCTTAGACTTCATTAATATATGATCATTGCTCTTAGTGGAACTCATCTCTAGAAAAAAGAGTAATGTCCCAAACATATATATATTTATTCAAATAATTATTTAAATAATATTAATAATTATAAATAAGTAAAAATAAATCAATTTGATAATATTTTTTAGAAAAGCTTCTTAAAAGCTTCATAGATGGAGCTTTGACTTTATACATGTTTGTAGTTGATTGGTAGGTTAAAAATTTGGCCAACAAGTTAGCAATGTATTGCATGTGTTGATAGCTTGTGGTACAAGCTTACTATATAGTACACATATAGAAAAATTACTTGCAAATTAAGACATATGTCTTGCAAGTTTTATACATATTGAAAGTCCTATACAAAATTACCACATACCTCCTTATTAAATAGTATATGTAGAGGCAAGAGTGAAGAATTTTTCTCTCTTATTAATACCTTTCTAGTCTTTAGTCTTATTTTGAGATTTTTTAATTATTTTTATTTTGCAATAGCTACTTTAATTTCAATATTATATTAGTTTTGAGTGAATATCTATTTTTTCCAAGTGATATAAGAGTATATGGAGGTTTTCTTTTCTTTGAGATTCATGTCTTTGACATTGTAAAAGAAAAAACTCTTTTCATATGTAATGATCAATTTTAATCTAAGATGTATTAAAATAGACTCGTTGTGTAGACTAGCTCTTATAAGTTCATTTGCTATGTCATTTGGTGTGATTGATGGATCTATTGTATGTGATGAAGGCAAATTTTGGAGAGATGGAAAGTTCTTCTGTAGCCCATATTATTGCAAGTGGATAGGACTTTGGTCTGAGCCTATGGTCCTCTATATTTGCTGGTGGGATTGGGTCTTTATTTTGTTTAGGTGGTCATTGACTTTGATAGGTACAAAGGATCATAAATTTTGTTCACTATATGCAAAGTCTACCCACACCCTTAGGTTTAGTTTGTTGTGGTGGCATGGCTTTCATTCGGTTTAGGAATGTACAAATGCTCTGCACCTGAGGCACTGATTCGGATGTTTCAAAACTATTACTATGTGGATAAGGAATAGTAGTTTGGTGACGGTCTTAGGAGGCTGATTTTAGCCGGTATTCTCGATACATCATTGTCTTTGCGTTTGACAGTTAATCCTGCGGTTTTACTAATGTAAGGTGATGTTTTTTCAATAAATGGAACTTCTCCCAAGTTGGAGGCTATTATCCAAAGATAGTTCTTGTGATGGAGATGTTGAATCACTCTTGTGCAGTGGACCTAGACTTGGTAGGAGAATCTGTACTAGTCTATGTTTTCATCAGTGAAAAAAGATGTCCATGGAGTAATAAAAATCTCCTTGTGTATCTTGAGGTTGAGTTATAGGTGTGCTGGAAGCTGTCTAGTAATGAGAAGCTGACATTGAAGTAGCCATTGTCCAATAGAGATCATGTCTCCATTGGTAGATGAAGAGAGGTGGTTCTTTCAGGGCGGGTTCTTCAGGACTTCTACTTTCGACATGACCAAAAATAGTCTACTGCATTGCTTTGTTACGGATAATCTCAATGATTTGGAGTTGTTCGGTAGAGAAGATTGCACTTTGACTGTACTGCATTGTCCTTTGCCGGAAGGCTTCAGGTTTTCAAGTGCACAAGTATCTGACCAATGGTGCTACCTTTGGAGCCATATTGGATAAAGGGGCTCTTATCTGTTTTAGATCACTAAGTGTATGAGGTGTAGATTGGTTGTTCGAGCACTACTCCCATACTGGAGAGCAGTGCCCTACTCTGGTGCAATTTGGGATACCAAATCTCAAGTTCGGGGGAGTGAATTGGCCATGTTTCTACTTGGTGTGTAACCTACAGTGTTGGCTGACTAATAGTCCTAAGAACTATGAATCTGAAACCGACTGCAGAAAACTGATATGAAGGGAGTTTGGTGTTATGAATCGCAACACAATGTGGCGAGACCTAGTCGAGAACTTATCGCCGTCATTTCGGAATTGCTCTGCCGCGATCTCGCTCTTCGCTTTGCTCTGCCAACTCGCTCTGCAATCTCAGAATGAGCTACAAAAGGAATCAATGAAGAAAAATTTGGACTTCACAACAATTGAACTCACCAATGGCAGCAGCGTCCGCAGCACGGCTACTCCAGATCCAATGTTTAAATTGCACAGGCTGGTTCTGTGAGGGGCAAGCCATTAAGCTCTCCCAACAATAATATGAGACTGATATGTTTGAAGGTCCAAGAGCTGGCAATAAGCTAACGTCTTTGATGTCATCTGTAGCCAGGTCCAGAGTCCCTCAACATGGCGAGTGGCCGGAAATAACCTATGTTATGTAGGTCATTCCAAAGCCTAATTAGGCCAAATCATTGCATTCTACACTAATTAGGCCAAGTCAATGCATTCTAGTAACTTAGAAAATCTAACAAACCAAAACGGACAAACCAATTTACTGTGCATCCCATATTTATAAAGGGCAATGTGTCCATCAAACACATAAAAGAGGTAAGTAAGCCATACGATAGCAAACTATCTCGCATGGTTAGGTGGGCACTTTGAAATGTCAAACAAGTAATCAACAACCAAGTTGTCGGGACTGTATGCAGATCACTTTGATTAAAGTTTAAGTATGATCCCCAATTCTCACTATCATTGAACTGCAATCCTACCAAGCAGCTATATTCCATTCAAACAGTCGTAAGAGTCGTAAAAGTCGATGCAAAGAGCCAATAGGACTTACCAGCAGAAAATCACCAGTATCGTAACATCACCGTATTACATTGTGTTTGAACTTGCTCTGTTTGAAATACTCCTGCACTCGAACACTCTTATCGCACTAGTGTCATGGTCTACCTGTATGGCAAATTTGCACTTGGTTGAATGCACGACCATACAGTGTCCACCAGAAATATTGTTCAAAATATCCAACAACTGTACCACGTGTTACCACTAGTTAATATCCAAATGATACTAGAGAAAATCTAATTTCGCATGTACATCAACAATTACAACTTAAATTAAATCACTAGATTAAATAAACTCTCCATCTGCGAGTGAATTGGACTTGTTTTATCCATCATAGGGGGACACTCCCTGGCTTCGATTCTCGGCAGGGACGACTGCGACGACGTCAAAGTGCTGACCTGAAAAAGAGGAAAAAACCATGTGTAGTCCATTTTATCACTCGGGAGCTTCCGTTGCCGGGACTCGAACCCGGGTCGCTCGGGTGAGAGCCGAGTATCCCAACCATCTAGACTACAACGGATGCGGACGACTTCCCAATCCGCCGCCGCCGACACACATCTAAGCCGCGTCACGGTACTACTCCCGTCTACCGACCCTACCCTCCGAATGTGTTACCACGCCCTGCCAAGTTTCTCTTCGCGTGATATCACATGCCGGATCACAGTTATCGCACGCTCTCGTCTCGCACCAATTTCGGACGCTGCCCTGCAGCTGCAAACTCCCATTCCGTTCCATCGCTATCATCTTTCTCTTATCAAGTTACCAATTGCATGCAATTTACCCCCTATCCTCTACTCTCTACCTGTCATCCATTGCTGCGGGGAAAACAACGTACGATATTTACTCCATCACAAACATGTCACACAAACTATCACTCACCATGCCTCCACATCTTCCCACACAACACGCCTAAACACGCAACACGCTCTCGCTCCAAACTCCTGCCGAACGCATCCACGCCTTCACCATCACATCGCTACAACCCTACACCTCGAAGCTTCAGATCTTGCCATTCAGCATAGCTTTCGCCTCAAATGGTACGGACAATATGTCTCATCACTGCCACGAGGTGCCCCCTACACTACCACCCTCTCTCACACATTGCAAAAACACAACATCAAAACGGACAACGCACCATGCACACCACGCTCCCATACCCACTGTTCATCCCAAAAACAACCACGCAACACCCCCCCCCACACACACACACACCAGAACCCAACCGGAGATCCCTCATTCCACAAAGAGGTGGTGTTCAAGAACACCGTCGATTTTGAGCCACCCCCGGCCCGCCCTTCCGCTCTACCCTCCGAACCCGTAAAGCGTCCGCCCCTGCCTCTTCAACGCATACACCACATCCATCGCCGTCACCGTCTTCCGCCGAGCGTGCTCCGTGTACGTCACCGCGTCCCTGATCACATTCTCCAAAAATATCTTCAGCACGCCGCGAGTCTCCTCGTAAATCAGCCCACTGATACGCTTCACTCCTCCACGACGAGCCAGACGCCGGATCGCAGGCTTCGTGATACCCTGGATGTTATCACGCAACACTTTCCGATGACGCTTCGCGCCACCCTTCCCAAGCCCCTTCCCTCCTTTGCCACGCCCAGACATCGTCGAACTCCCTTTACCACGGTCACTCTAAACTCAAACCCCTCCTTACAGCGACCGACACACACCCGCGCTCCACACTCAGATAGGGTTTCCGACACACAGCACAGCAAGCACCACAATATCACACAGTGACAGACCCAAGCCTGGAAGGACTCTATATGCCTCAAACCGATGGAGAGGGACTTCCATCCCAAGTCCCCCTCCCCTTTGCATCCAAGCGCCGGGTCTTCAGAACCGGATCCGACGCTCAGCCTGACTTCTCACTCTATTTCCCGCATTTTCCAAGTCTTCCATTCCGTTCCAAAGCCCGTTGAGAAGACCCGTCTCGTCCGCACTTCGCTGCATTGGCGGGAAGATTGGGCGGGGTTAGGAGGTTGAAGTGGGCAAGAGCGAACGGGTCTTCCACGCAGAACGGTTGTCAACCAGAAGATCTTCATACCCGGAGCTATGCGGCGGTTCTCAGGAGGTCAGGGTGACGGGATGGAAACACCGCCCCCACCATGTGACAAATAACAAGTCAATGCTGCTTTCGTGTCCGAATTCGCTGTAAATTCATGCTTCACTACAATTTAAGTCTCAGGTTGCAGATCTCAATCTTATCATGTAGAATTAAAAGAAACTTAATAATGATTGTATATATTGTTTAAACAACAAAAATCTCTATCCAAAGTTTTTGTTGATGCCATCTATGCAAATGGATATCAAATAATCAAAAGAAACAATGACTTGAAAAAGATAAATTGGGAATTGATTAAGTATTCAAAAAGGTTAAAGACTCAATTTTATCTTGAAAACAGTAAGGGTTATTTATTATATTATGCTTTTGTTAGATATAAAATCACAAATTAATTGACTTATTTTAAGAATAATTATTATAAATTTTTCATTTTAACACAACTATCTAGTGAAAGGGTGGATAGAGGCTGAATATTTAAAAGAAATTTAATTCAGAAGTTATTATGTATTTTTTTGTAATAATAAAAGAGTGACTTCTAACAAAAGGTTTTGATCTTTTTGTAGATATTTAAGATATGTTTAGATTAGATTTAAAATGACTTTGTGAAAAAGAAAAAGAATAATTAATATTTTGATTTTTAAATAAATTTTTGAATGATAATATTTGATTTTACTTTTTAAACTATTTTTTTGATTTTTTTTATAGCCAAATCGATTTTTGTAAATCAATAGATGGATATAAATTAAATATGTGCATTAAAGTTTAATTTAGTTATTATGTTTGATTATTAGTTATTGAAATGTTAGTGGAATATGATATATATAATTAGTAGGTTGAAGGTCATCCTTCTCTTGTTGTCCCTACACTTCTCTATATGCTCCACCAAGTTCTTCCAAGCATATTTGCTTGTCACTTGCATTCCTTCTAGTGCTCCTCTATATATCATATATATATATATATATATATATATATATCTTGGCTTGGATTTATTGATTCAGCATGTCTTAATAATGTATGCAAAAAGTCAACAAATATAAAATTTATATTAGATCACTTAGAAAAAAAAATCACATTCGATTATTTAAAAAAATTAATCTATAAATGTTGTTGTAGAATTAAGACCAAATTATCCTTATTATCTTTTTTCCAAAGTTTTTGCCTTAGATTGCTCTATAGCTTTCCATTAGAATGTAATGAGTTTCATATGAATTTGCATCATTGTTAATTTTTTAATACATGAATTATAAAGTAATAATTATTTATTTTTGGATCTTTTTGTTTTGATCCATAAGTACAAACTTACAACAAAACAATGGTAGAAAAGATGGAAGTACATTTCTTTATTTTCTTTAAGATCAATTTACAATTAGGAAGAAAAATCTAAAAGAGTAGTAAATTCACCAAAAATGCACAATGATTGAAGTGACTAACATGAATGCAAAAATGTGGATTTGATTAAACAACCACCTTTAATATAAGAGGTCTAGTAGATAAAGACAAGTAATAAAGAAAATGTTACAAAAAAAATAGAAGTAATAAAATTATTTGAGTGTTAAAGTTTAATATTGGAAATTAATCATTAGTATCAAAGGAAGTGTAGAATAGGTAAATAAATTTTGTGGTAAGTTACTAGTTGGTTATTGCCAACCTTGAGAATTATACTTATGGTTATGCAGTTTAGTTGGTAACAGTAGGTTGTTAGTGGAACAAATGGTTAAGAATTCAAAGGGTCATAACCTTTGGAATCTATTGGCCGATGGTCCAATTTTTTCATAGGATAAAGAGATTGAAAAAAGGGAAATCAGAGCGAGACTGTGATAGTCGTAAGCCGGGGCAAGCTTGGTGCTACCTCTTTGTTATCTTTGCTTTTATTATTTGCTTATGAAGAATTGTGATTGAAAGAAGTATTGTTGAAACTATGATTAGATTATTGTGGAATATGACTTTGGACTGACCGATTTGGAGAAAATTTGTGACCTTGAGAATTGAGATTATCGAATTGTATTGTGTTATGTAAAGATATTGAATTCTATGTGATGAATTGAGAAAATGAATAAAATAAATAAGCTGAAGATCAGTAATTGAATATATATAAATGACAAAGAGAGTAAGTGGGAGATGAACTGATAAGAATATGGAAATATTGTTGAATTGATAGTCATAGAATGGATTATGTGTTGAATTAAGATGGAAGTAGTAAGCCTTGGTGTTTTGTAGTTTGATAATTGATTTTAGATAGCCCGAGTATAATTAATTGTGACACTAACAGACCCAATTCATATAACCAGTCTTTCCTTGTGTTTTATTCCACCTCTATTAGTTCAATTTCTTTGGTATATTGAAGCTTGAACACAACGAGAACATCAAGAAGGTAGTTAGGACTTATAACTTCTTTTTATGTGGAACATCTAGCCTTGCAATATTCTTTGTGCTTCTATACTAACTTTGCCAAATTTCTTTAAACTTTGATCTTTATTCCTTTGTACTTTCTTATATACAAAGCTAAGTTCTTCCAAGCTTCTTTATCCATCTTTTATGTTTCTTTTGGTACCTCCTCCGTATTACCTATATATATTATAATGGTTAAGATTAAATATGAAGATATGGCAAGTAAGATACCTTCAGCTAGTCTATTAGTTTATAATTTATTTTTATAAGATATAATGATAAAAAATTATGATATTCTATTATTTTATATATTATTTCTATCACAAATAATTTTAGAATATATATAAGTAACTAAAATTAATCACATATGAGTGTAAAATTTACTTGTCAACTCAAATTACAAGATGGCTTTAATTAAGAGTTGCTTGTAATTAGTAGTATGAAGTGGAAAAAGTAAATAGTTAGAATAAAAGAAGAACAAAGACAAAATAATTTAAATAAATGAAATTAAGGAGTTATACAATTCAAAACTTGATCCAACATGTTCATTGAGTTTTTATTCAATAAATATAAAAATATAAAAATAATATATATATTAACAAGTAAATAAATAAAAAGTTAAGTGAAAATATTTTACCTCAAGGATAACTTGCTTATAGATCAAAGGTTCGAACCTCACTAAGGCTCACATCTAGTATATAAAGATATCTTAGAGAGGCTACGAGGCCTTGGTCTTATCCTCCCAAGTACCTTCAAGGTGCTACAACCTATATAGGACTTATATCCCTCTTTTCTTATAAGGACTATACTAGCTGTTGATCCTTCTATTTTCTACAAATAGATCCAATATTTTTATAACTTTGACTTCTCTATGGTATTTTAAAATATCCAATTAGCCTAAGAACCTTTTGTGGCCTTCAAATCTTGTTCTATTTCTCCATAATGGCTTCTAAAGTAATAAAACTTATTTTTATCAAAGTCTTATAAATTGCTCTAAAAAATCTAAATAAATTCTAAAAATTCTTATAATGATTTTACAATGCTAATATCAGTTTAAAGCTATAATTTCCTATCTTGATGATTTTTTATAATAATAAAATAAATTTAAATCCACTTTAAAATCCTACTTTTTATATAAATAATTAAAAAAAATACAAGGTTCATTCTCATACTTCTTCTAGCTACTAACTAACATTTATAGTTTTTTATAAATAATCTATGTAAAAAAAAGCCATTATAAATATTTATCTTAATAAATAACTCTTAATACTCAATAATAAGTAAAAAATACTAAATCAACTTAGATAATTGCCTCTAAGACTTATTAAGATTTCATTTCTACAATTAATAATCTAATTTTTTGTTTGTCTAAAGATTTTTATACTATTCACCATATATTGTGATTTTAAGCATTCTAAATACATATTTTTGTGCTAAAATAATTAGTGAGTTGATTTAGTGTTTTATATTACATCATAGCATGTGAATTTGTTTAGTATTAAAAAATCATAAATAAGAAGAATTCTTAAAATCATATTTTTTACTTTTAAAACTTCTAAGTATATGTTATAGGTTTAAAAATTAATACGGAATTTATTTTAAATTATAAATAAAATTTTCAAATTATTTATAAGTATTTTTTATTAAATTAGATATTATTATTATAGAAATATATTTATTATAATTATTACTTAAATAATATGAATAGATAGAAATAAAAAGAATTAGATCAATTTCATAATATCTTTTAGGCAAGCTTTCTAGAAGCTTCATAGACTCTATTTTGACTTTACATGTATTTGTAGTTGATGGATAGGTGAAAAACTTGATTAATAAATTAACTACATGCTACAAATATTGGTAGCTTGTAAAACAAGCTAACTATGTGGCATCCATATAAGAAACTTGCCTTATAAGTTAAGATACGTATTGTGCAAAGTTAAGAAATTTTGGAAGTCCTATAAAACATTGCCACATAGCTCTTAGGTAGATAATATTTATAGAGGTAAGAATAAAGCCTTCTTCACTCTTATCAATTCTTTTCTTGCTTCTTGTTTAGTTTCAAGAATCTCTAGTTTTATTGTCTTTTGGCAATAGCCATTCCAATTTTTTTTTAATACATATATATATATTTTTTTATTTTTTCATGCTTCTTTAATAAAATTCTACTTATTTATTTACTTTCATCAAGTTTTTGTCCTTGACATATTGAAAAGAGTACACTTATAATATTAAAGCTTTGTCTTTTTATTTTATTTTTATTAAAAATAGATTATTCTTTTTTTTAATAAAATATAAGCATATTAAAAATTATACATTAAATTTTTTAAACTAATATTATT